TATACAAGATGAATTAAATTATTTTTTTTTGGCACTTTCGTTTTTCGCGATTATCTCGGAAACTATGAGATCCGATCAATTAGCCCCTCATGTATAGATATTCCAAATTTTTATTTTTTTCCTCATTGAAGTAGTTTTGAAAAAAATTGCGAGCTAATAAAAAACATTTACTAGTTGGGATTTTTTTTTAAATAAATTTTTGAAAAATCTCCCCTGAAAAAAAAGGCGTTATCCCCCCTACTTCATTATTTCCAAAAAATTTTATCACCAATCGGTAGCAAATTGTTTGAAGATTTTTGCGAGTTAAGAAAAAATCGTCAATGCACTCATATTATTGTGCAAATTAACAATTCCAATTTCAACTGAAAACCAGAGTTGATGACCAGAGTTTGTAGCAGAGATGTCAGACAAGATATGAATGTTTTTTTTGGCTTAAATGAAAGAGTGGGTCGAGAAATGACGTGCTAGAGCCTCTAAACATGACAAATGTCTCTAAAGATGAATTTTCGAAGAATCGAGCTTTGATCATTCTTCGCTCGAAAGTTCAGCTACTGCGGGTGTGAAGAATGGTAATTGCAGATTTCTAAATATTCAAATGTCATAACACATCCGGGAAACCGATACCAATTCATTACTATTTCATTGTCTTATCGTATTTTCCACCTTCTGCATGAATATATTATCGGGCTGTCAATGTTCAAGAATTAGTCCATGTATTAAATATTCAAGATTTCTGCAAAGTCGCCAGATAGCATCAATCAATCAAATGGTTTGAAATATCGCTGACTGAAAAAATATTTATTTTCTTCTTGCAACTCGGGCCAGAAATTTTTCTGCATTTCTAGGATTGTGAGGTATTCTTCACCTATCCTATTATTGACCTGTTACTGTTCAAGAATTATTCCATGTATTAAACATCCGACATTTCCGCAAAGTCCCCCAATAGCACCCATCAATCAAACGATTTGAAATAACTTGGACTGAAAAAAAAAATCTTTTTCTTTCATTCAATTGAGGTCAGTAATTTTTCTCAATGTCTGAGACTCGAAACTAGGAAACTAAATCATAATTATCGTTATATCGAGCAAAAACTAGATGGCATTACAAATCAAAGAGCAGTCATCCATGACGACAAGACAAAAAGTAAAAAAATGATGAAAATTTATTTGAAAATGACGACAAAATAATAACATAATAACGGATGGCCCCGAAAATTCACGTAGAAGGAAATCCAAAAGTCAAATCAAACCTCTGGAATTCCCAAAACAACAACACTCATTGAACCGCGAATCCCAGTGCCATCAGGGGTCATTCCCATATTTCCAGCATCGACCCACTGATGAAGCCAAACAATAACAAGAAGCATTCCATCGCCATCTCTCGAATACAAATGCACTCGATGAATAATTCAGTAGCAAAGTGGTAAAACATGTAACAAGTCAATCTTTCCCATCTCATCGGTGAGTGTTTCAGAGAAAAAAAAACTTGAGAAACATTTTTTGTCGTAAATTTCCTCAGCTAGCAAGAACAAGATTCTTGTCATTTTTTCTTAACATGAGGCATTTCCGGGTAAAGTAAATAACTTCATCGGAATCCTTTGGCTTCACGGACGTTTAGGATGTGACGATGTTACTTATGCATTGCCAATTAGGACGATATGATCGGTGTCTTGTTCCTCAGCACCACTGACGCAGTTCGGGCTTGCGATTATTGCTCTTCGGTATAGAAATTTGTTAAGATGATTTATTTACCCATAGGGGAGGATGGGGCAAAATGGCCCCCCTTCAATCGTCAATATTTTCCGATTCAATAATCCGATTGGGATGAGTTAGAGCTCGTTTTGAAGAATGAAAAATTATCTTCAAAATGAAGTCGAAACTGGGAATTTTCACAATGTCATTCACAAGTTATTGACAATTGAAGGGGGGCCGTTTTGCCTCACCCTCCCCTACTACGAGTTCCCTGGGTAGTTTTTACCTCATGTACCATGGGCGTGATTTCTTCCACACTTTTAAAAACTTTTGTTTGAATTTTCCGTACCAAATCCTGGAAATTTTTGTCGGGTTTAATTTTTCATTGAAATTTCAGAGAATATTGTCATTGAAAAATTAAATATTCCGTCATTTCCGGTTCAAATCATCTGATAATTAATAAAATACTTGATTTTTCAGTTAAATTATTCCGTGAAAATTGAGAATAATCAGGAAAATTCTGGAAAAATTGAAAATTTATGTCATTTTGTTCCTGAATATTCACACGGAGAGAAATATTCAATAAAAATTACGTATCTCTTCCGTAATTCCGGAGCGAAATGTGGTTGTAGGCAATTTTACGGAACTGTCACGGACTTTGTCCGGAGCGTTCCATAATTTTTATCTGAATCTTCCGTGAAAAATTACGGTACCGTCACTTAAATTTTCTGAGTCGATTCCGTAATCGGTGAGTGAATTGTGAGTTCCGTAATTTTTACTGAACATTTCTCTCCGTGCGTGTTTCATTGAAAATTCGAGAAAATTGGATTTTTCATGTTGCATAATCATTGATTTTCCAGTGAAATCTTGAATTTCCAACCTCATCGTGAAAATTGAACATCACATACAATTCAGTAGCGAAATGGTAAAACGGTTCAAATCAATTTTGACTATTGGCAAATTTTCAATGAATATCTCGGAATCTAAAGGAGACAGCAAATATTTGTTAGAAACTTTTTTGGAGAGCCAATTGAGAGCTACCAAAAATGTGATTACGAAAATTTCGCCATCTCCCTTAGATTCGGGAATATTCCTCAAAAACTCACCTGGGAGATGAGCCGACTCGAACCGTTTTGAGAATTCAGGAAAGTTGTTGCCTGAATTTTCAAAATTTTCCAGGTTTTTCCGTTGCGTGTGGACCTGAGAATCGAGAATTGCTTGAATATTCAAGAAATTAACTGATTTTCCAATAAAGAAATATCCAGAAATTTCATGGAACTTTGTCGTTGTTGAAAATTTCAAGCTTTTTCACTTGAAAATTCAGGTAAGTAATTTTCACGTGAGTAATTTTCAAACAGTGAATATTAACAAAAATAATACGTCTCGATTAAATCGTACGTCTCCATGAAATCGTAAAAAATCTAGAATCTTCTTTCTTTCTACATGAGCTTCCTCGGCATAATCTACGCCTTCTACCTCCCCCCCACCAGCGACGAAAACACCCGTAAGATTATTCCAGATCACCGCTATGGGAGATGAAAATATAATAAAAAACCGGAGAGACACGTGTACGTGTGAAGTAACAAGTGGGGAAAATATTGTGGTGTTGGTTACTCAGCGCACACGTGACGTTCACCAACGTCGATGTTACGATTGGTCCGAGTGGCTTGGATCGGACGTTTGGATCCATATAACCCGGCGCTGAGGCTTGTTAAACGCAGAGTTAACGTGCTTAACGAACGAGACAGTTCAGTGTGTGACCTTGATCGGTTCTCTGATTCGCGGTGGCGAGATAATACATTCGGAGTTTTGCGCATTTTATTTTTGCCAGTTGTTTTCTTGAGTTTCTGGTTTTGAGTGCATTTTTTTTTTGAAAATGAAGAGATCACTCAGCTTCATCGTCGTCGCTTCGCTGCTTGCGCTTGCGCATGGATTCCCTCGTGAGTATCTGTGCTTGTGATTTTTTTTGAGGGAAGGAGTTCTGGATTTTTCTAGAGCTTTTTTATGGAGTCGTCTGTAAATTTTTTTCGCGGTGAACGGTTTTTTCACTTTATTTGGGGAATATGCAGAGAGGGGAGACAGCTAGGGGGAAAAGTGAAAATACATTTTTTGTGGAGAATTTCAAGAGCTACAAAAAAGTTTATTTTACGTTTTTCAGTATTTTGAATAGTTTTGGAGATATTTGAGGAAGAGTCAGCCTATGAATTTTAGAACTGACTGATTGTTAGTTTGTTAATTATCTTGGTAACTATTGACTTTACAAGAAAAACTCATAAGACTTTTTTGTAGAGAATTTCACGGGCTATAAAAAGTGTCTCACGATAATTTTCAAAAACTCAATTAGTTTCGGAGATATTGACGGAATAAAGCGGATAATTTTATTACAAGCATTAATTTCTGCATGAATTTCTCCCATTTATTTTTCAATCAAAGCACCGACGGATCCAACATATCTCGCGTAGTTTTCCAATCCTTACATATTGAGAAATGATTTTTTATAATAACAAATGGAGGTGAAACCTGTGCCCCATTTTTTTCGTGAATGCATTCATCCATCGATTTTTATTCCCCCAACCCAAGTGAATAGATTTTTCTTTAATTCTGGTTCCCCGCATTGGTTTCGTATCCTATATATATACATTTGAAAAATATTTCAACAGCACCGGGGCGTCCGCCGGAAACAATTAAAACCGAATCCAATCGCGCGGTGCACCGATGACAATATATACGCTACACGTTTTTATGAAACAGTGAAAAAAAAAAGATATTTGGGGTGAAGGAAATGAGTGGAAGAGGATGGCAAATGCATGTACAAATATTGAGAATTCAATTATGCGGCTAACAAGCGACAGACTAATTGTTTTCCACTCCGCGTTTCGTATAAATTGCCCTCTCATCTGTCGTTTCGGCTTGTAAATCAGTTAATAACGAATTGAAATTTTTAATCATGTCCCGAGCACTTCACTATTTTTTTTTAGTCGGAGGGAAAAGATTATTTTTTAAAGAGGACGCGGATTTTTTTCTCATTTGTCCTCCATTTGTTATTCAATCTCTGAAGGTTAAGGTTTTGTCCGACACTCGAGACGCGCATAATTCATCGGGGAAAACCGGTTTGGTTTGACTTCCTCGTATTCCTGGATGTCCTCATTTTTCCGAGCAACTCATGTTCTTCATGATTACTAAATGCACTGCGACGTTTTATGATATTTTTTTTTCGGCGATCGCAAGAGGTGCAGAAGTGAAGGGAAAATATGAAATGGCGGCATGACGGAGTGGTTCGCCGTGGGTGTGAACTTGAGAGCAGCTGAACGTGGGAAGCCAGGTGACGGATCTTTGAAAGGTTCAGAATGATTTTTTAATGAAGCGGAATAAGGAGATCGAGAATTTAATCCGATTCGGTATGATTCCGGAAGGATAGTGAGGGGAAATGGAGCGAAGGAGATCGATGAAAATTATGGTATTGGGTGAGGAAGTCCTCGACGGAATTGACTATTGGACAGCTAGAAAAAAAATGAAATGACAGTGACATTGAATGCGATTTAGGGTAAAAAAATCACGAAATTTCAGGTTTCACGAAAAATCAGTGGAATTCCAGAATTTTAAGCGGCATAAAAATGAGAATTCACTAATTTATTTGAATTTCCAATCCAATGTGAATATTCAGTGCCAAATGACATTGGATTTCCCGGGAAATCTGGAATTTCATGATTTTTCCCCCCTAAACACAATTCGATTCGTACAATTTCAGTTCCGCCTCACACTTTTCATTTCCTTTTACTTCGCTCGCGAGTTACGTTTCAAAACGTAAATTTCCGTTTCTTTTCCGGTAATTTTCATTGAATTTTTGGTTCCACGTAGGAGCCCAAAAAATAGGAAGCTTAAATCCGAGCGATTACAAAGCTTCCACTCGAAACTAAAAAAAACCTTCCGTCCACCCCTTCCCTTCATCCCAAACGAATCCGCGATAAGTTAGACACAGCGGAAAACAGCAGCAGTAAGAATCGTCCGGAGGATATTCCCATCGAGTTGACGTTGCGCACGATTCGTCCCTCCACTCGGCCATAAACCTCGTGAAATTAAACGACTGTCTTCCTGTACAATATTTAAAAAGCAAACGGGAAAAAAGACAAGAACAAGCAAAGTAACATCTCTTCTTGAATAAGGAACCGAGGAGAAGCAGGAAACATTGTCGAGACAAAAATATTTTCCCTCGTCGTCGTCGAGTGAGTCTTGAAGGGGTTGGGGGAACGCAATTATGTCAAGATTCGCTGAAAAACCGGAAATAGAGTGCGCAAGGGGGAAGCCAGAGTGTACAGAGAAAAGTGTTACCTAGGTTTAGAGGTTTTGAGAGGGTGGAAAAGGCGGCGTGGGGTCGAAAGGGGATGGGAGTTGAATCGTGCTTTAAGAATTACGCTCGAAGCTCCTTGTCACCGTTGTGGGTGCAAGAATTATGCGGAAACGCTTGGTCGGCCGGAAGACAATTCAATTACCGTCGCTCGAGAAGCCATAAACCAACCCTTCTCATCGTCTCTCCGTCTCCTTCCCCCTGTCCCTCTCCCGCTCGCGCTCTCTCGCTCTCTCTCTCACTCTGTCCCATTCGGATTTCAGCAGTATCAAGACTATCACAAGCACGGACACCTCTCTCTACGTATTTAGATCGCAGAACAGTATCCGTATTAAAGCTTGAAAAAACTTGAAATCAATACGGTGTCGTTGAGTGGAAAAACTAGTAAGAGGATTAGAGACTAGATCGTCTCCGGCTACTGTTGGGTTAAATAAATATTTTATTCTGGAGGGGTTTGCGGAAGGGAAGCGAGGGAGATTGGAAAATGGATGGTGGGACAATATTTTTTTTTTAACTTGAGTAAAAAGTAGTTCAAGGACTTTGTGGCTTCGACAAATGGGAGGATCGTTTCCTAGGCGCATCAGGACTTTTTCAAGATTCTCGAAGATGATGCGTTTTGCCCCACTAGTTACCTCAGATAAACACAGGATTGTAAGATATCTTTCTTAAAAATGAAAAACGTTTTATCAAATATTTATGGATCTAGTCGAGAGAACGAGGTCTGTGACCTCTCGTTGTATTCGGAATTCGATTATCTACAGATGAGTAGGAAAATCACCTCTCTGTAGTCTAACTGTCCTCACACTGGCGGCAGAAACTTCGAACTTCCGTACGAAGACGTCACCCTTTCTCAAAAAGGGGGACGAATTTCTCGTTTCATTTAAGCATTTAATAATTAATCGGAACGATTTCATGTTTCATTTTGTTTATATAAGCGTGGTGATCATTTCCCGCGAAGATGGGAGCATCCCCGAGGAGATCCTCGCGGGCAAACGTAAAATCCCACCTCAAAAAAAAAAAACGTAAAATCTTCCTCAAAAATGGGCGAAAATTCCTTGATTAATCGTAATTTCTTTCTCTAAAAATAAAAAAAATCAACCTATCGCCATAACCGTAAAAATCCCCGAATTCCGCAAAAAATCAGTCCTCTCTATTTATAAAAAAAAATATGTCGACATCAGCCAGACCATTGTGGCCATAAGACACAGTATTAAACGTCTAATCCGGCTTAATTAAAATGCAACACGAATGACAGATGTCTCATCTACAAAATACGGCATTGCCGCCCCCTCTTTTTTCTTCATCACAAGCGTCACTCCCTGCCCAAGTCTTTTGTAAATCTAATTAGCGCTTCCTGCCAGGGAAGGAATGAAAATATTCACTCATTGAGATGAATAATTCACGCATGCCACTCGACGGCTGTCCATTGTCTTTAGTATGATAATAATGATTAATTATTTAATAGAATTTTCCCGTGGTTTTCCAACGTTATTCCGCGTCGTACGTGTGGCTCTCGTTGGATGGAAAAATCTCCCCAGCTATACATCAAGTGAAAATGATTGACTTCAATCAACGGGCCCCTGTCCTTTGTCCCTGTGCAAATCGACTCAGCGAAATTGGCTTCAATTGTTGTCTCGGTGTGTCCATCCAATGGATTAACTTCGCGATGTGCGTGATGCATTATAGGACAGAAAATATTTCCTCTGTGAAAAAATAGCGAAACATTATGCTAGACCCAGTAATATATCGAGTTCATGTTGGCTTGAAAATTTTTTTTCTCACAGTCTTTTTCCATTTCTAAAAAAATGTAATATTTTAATATTTACTGATATTACTATTCAATTATTTTAAGAAATGAAAAATATAATGAAGATTATAACTGCGTTACGTATTTTCTTAATATTAATTCGTTGAATACGAATATCAATCTAGATTAACGCAAATAAAAAATGAAATGAATAGTTGACAAATAGTTGACTGTTTCACGGAATTCAAGCGAACAAAATTTTTTTTCAACTTTTGTTTATCAATTTTTTTTTATTATTGGGAGTACTGATGAGAATAATAATTTGTCATTCAGTAGAATGGAAAATTATTGAGAAGTTTTGACGGGAGAAGATTTTGTCGAAGTATCTCTCTGAATAAGAAAAAATTTAATGAACAAAAGTTTATGAAAAAAAAATTTTTTGCTTGAATTGCATCAAACAGTCGTTTTTCGGCAGTTTCATTTTGCCTCACGCTCTCCTACGTAATTGTGATGACAAAAATAATATTCAACTAAATAAATGAGTGGAAAAGACACATCATGAAACGAATGAATGAACCACTGGCCAAAATAATGGGCACCTGAAGCGCACGTCCTCTCCTAGTATATGAAATTTCGGCTAATCACACTCATACAAAAAAAATGACAAAAGGGAAGTGGAAGTGGAATAATAATCCAGGAAGAATGTTTACCATCATTTTGAGGACGACATTCGAAACATTCGCGCGAACAATGAACAATAGAAAGTTACATTGAATTATCATCCTGGCAATCTTTATAGGTGCCTTTAGCATAATGAGTCATGGAATGACTCACTCTTCCTCTAATCA